GACGGCTGCAGTGTGTGAGTGCGCATGTGTGTGCGTGGTGGGGGTGAGGGGGGTGCTGGTGGATCTCCCCACAGCAAGTGTCTTCCCGCCCCATCCTAGGAGGCAGGCCGTTGGGGGCGTGGAGTTTTATTTTGTCTGTGTTCCAGCCACCCCCCCTGCACTACTCCAGGACTCCATCGAGGCCACTCTCCCTGTAGCTTATCCCTGGGCACAGCACCGTTGCCGCATCCAGCCAGGCTGGAAACCACGGGATGACGGGAGGTGCCATCAGAGACTCACAACCTCTTCCACAGCCGGTCTGTGACTGTGCCTCTTCTAGGTGTCTCTGGAATCCCTCCCTGAGCTACCTCCGGGCATCCCCCTAGCCCAGGTCGAGACCTCAGCCTTTCTCACCTGGCTCTCTGCCCTCCCCAGCCCACCGAGGCCCCTCAGTGCCCGTTCTCCGTGACTGAACCACAATGGTCCTCGCACAGCACGAGGCCAACTGGGCCCGCACTGCCCAGAGCAAGCAGGCTCCCCAGCACAGCCTCAGGCAGCTCCCTCCCCTCCTCCCCCTGGAGCCACCCCAGGCTCCACTGCTTTCAGTTCCCAAGCACAGGCCACCACACACACAGGCCCCTGCCCGGAGCGCTTCCCCACTCTGGCAGGAGGGTGCAGACAGCAGCTGGGGCAAGCTTCCCTGCCTGGAGTGTCCTGGACTTGGCAGTGATCACCTGGGTGGTCTGGGTGCGTCACTTCTTGTTTGTCTGCTGCCCTGCCTGCCTCGGAGCCCCTCAAGGAAGGGGGACCAGGTCTGATACACCTGTGACCTCTGGGCCCACAGCAGATACCATGAAAGGCTTGTTGACTGACTAAGTAACCACTGCCTCCCGGACAAGACTGGTGTGGAAATGGGAAGAGGACACAGGGCTGGGGGGGCCGGCAGGGGCACTGCAGGTTTTGCCTTCGACCCCTCGGCTTGAATACATCACTCTCTCTTCGTGGAGCTCCATGCGGAAGATGGAGGGGTTCGAACAAGCTCACAACAGCCTTCTAAAGGCAAGCTCACTATTGATGTGCAAGAGAAGTGACCGCCACTGTCTCCTTCAGAGTGCTGGGCTGGGAAGTCCCTCCAGGCATCTGACCTATATCTCTCTTGCTACAGAGAAGCTGGTTCTGACACTGCACTGCCTCCCACAGCAGCACCGTCCTCAGGGGGCCCAGGGTGGGGCCGGCCTGAGGACTGACTTCTGTCCTTCTGCCTTAATTGGCAGCACGCAAGTAATGAGTCACGAAAGACAACCAATTAATTATCCCCAGTTATAAAAAGCGTTGCTTCCCCTTCCCAGATGCCAAGTGAACCACACCCCCCATTGCCGGGCTCCTCCACTGCCGGGCTGCGGGCAGCAGAGCAGGTCATTTCACCTCTCCAGTCCTCAGTTTCCTGTTTCCTTATTTGACAAGTGTGGGTCCTCGGGGGAGGGGACCGTGTGAGCACAGGCTTAGAGCAGGAAGGAAGGCAGCAGCTTGGACAGGTGGCAGGAGGGCTCCCCGCCTGCCCTCCCCCTTCACCGTCCCCGGGATCCGCCCAGGGCTGCAGGGCCAGGTCCCAGCCCAGGGAACACGGAGCACCCCTGGTGCGCCCAGAGACACTCCCCATCTTGTCCAAAACACGCCTGGTCCAGTGCTTTTTCTCCTCCATCAGACAGCTTCCTAAGTCCTCCCTGCCCTTCCTTTCTTCTTCATCTTGCCAGCTCTCAGGACACAAATACTCAGACTCAAAATACATGAGTCCTCCCCGACAGCCTCCCTCTTCCTGAGGCTCTTGCTGCAGATCTGTCCCTGCTCCAGGTGTGACATGGCTCCGAGCCTTGAATTCTCTCTCCATGCAGGGGGCATAACAAAGAAACGTGCCCACGGGGGTGCTGATCAGTTAACAGGGCAGCGCATGTTAGCCGTGTGCTCCCGGAATACAACAGGCACACAATAAATGTGGACCGTTACTCCCGCATGTCGTTTCTCGGCCTGCTGAGAGTGAACCGCTTCTGTGACTCACAGGTCCCCTGTCATCTCACTGCACAGATGAGGAGGCCCAGAGAGGCCAGCTTCACAGGAGAACTTGACCCCAGGCTTCTCTAAGCTGGGAGATCAGTGGGGGGGCTCCCCAAAAGGACCTCAGGGGAGGTAGTCCCTGGGCAGGGGCAGTGCAGGGGGTCCCCAAAGGAGGAGGAGGAGGAGGGGATGAAGAGAGGCACAGGCCCGAAGTCAGACCCCATCCCTTTGCCAAGTGAGGCCTCTCCTCCACCCCCAGCGGCTCTCCTTTCCCCACCCACCTGCTCCCAGGGCTCACTGGGGGGCCTCAATTTGTTCGGCACAATGTACAGGGCACCTTCTCTGCACCAGCCCTGACTCTGAGACACCAGATGGCTGTTCCCTTCACTGTGTCAAGGCCAGGGAGCCCAGCACCCCCTCACTGTCCTCACCCAGCTGTCTCTGTGGGACTAGGGAGAGAAAAAGGAGAGGAGAGAGAGCGAGAAAAAGGGCGAGCGTGCTGAGGCTGGAGCCCAGGAAGTGGGAGGGGACGCAGGTGGGGAGTGAGTGACAGGGAAGGGGAGGATGCTCCTTGTCAGCTGGGAGTCTCAGGGTCACCTGAGGTGAGCTCAGCCCTTTCTGCAGAGGCCCTCCCCTCAGAGCTGCTGCGAAACCCTGTCCCCTTTCCCAGCAAGGCTGGCTTGTGACCTCCTGAGGTCCTTCCTGCTTTTGCCCCCTACCTGGTACCCGGACCTTGGCGAGTGCAGAGCCTGCATGGCACAGGCTCCCAGTTAGCTCAGAACCAGCCGCAGCCCAACACTTCCTCCCCTCTGGGCCCCGTGCTGGCCACAGCCAGCACCCATCACTTCCTGACTCCACAGCCGATGACTGGCTGGCTGGCCCCGGGCCCACCGAAGGCTGTGAGTGCCCCGGGAGATACACCTTCCTGAGCTTCAGCTTTCTCCCCACTGCGACCAAGAGCTTTTGGACCTACCCTGCCTGGGGCCAGTCCTGAGTGCTACCCTCTGCAGGCTGTGTGACCCGGGCCCAGTCACAGACAACCAGCTTCTGTTTCCCGATGGAAAATGGTGGCCATGACCCCTGGCTCAGGGGTAGGTGTCAGCCCAGCGTGTGAGACACACAGGTGCAGCCTGCCTGCCGCCCTACTGCCTGCCATTCCTGACACAGGGATGCCCTGCTGCCTGGCCCCAGTCTCTGGGGAGAATGGAGACTGGAGCTTGGAGCAAAGCAGAGTGGCCAAGGAATTCTAAAGTCTTAACTCAGCCCCGCTTGCACTTCAGAGATGGAGAGCCAAGGCATGTAACTCAGGAGTCACTGGTCTCAATGTCTAGTCACAGCTAGCACTGCTGGTCATTTCCTGTCGCAAGCCACCTGTCCCCCAGCTCCGTGAGATGCATGTGTGATATCTCACAGGTGAGAAAGCTCAAAGTCAAGTACATACTGTGGACAAAAAAAGGGGCACTGTGATAAATCTAACCGAAAGTAACCTCAAGGGCAATCTGATCGTGAATTCCTATCTGTGCAGGACTTGAATAGTCTTCCCCCCCCTCCCCCGGCCGTAACTAAAGGTTGTCTTTGTCCTAAGCAAGCCCTGCCCACTGTTTCTGTGTGGCTCTGTTAACACACCTTTGCAACGCCTCTTTGTGGGACTCCTGGGAAGCACAGCTGACCTCCAGGGAGCCCCTAACCTTGTTAACTCTCCCGTATTGGTACCTCGCCCTGCTTACTCCCACCTTCCTGGAATCTCTCCTCCTCAATCTCAAATGCATAAAAGAAACTGCAAAATGTCATTCTCCGGAGCATCTGAGATCTCACTTCCCAGCACTGTCATCGGTTTGGCTCAATTAAAATTGCATTACAATCCTCTACAGCTCTGGAACTTTCTTACATCAACAGGACCAGTAGAAGAGGCTCGACCGTGAGGCCTGCCTGACCCGACAGCACAGACCACACTGCAGTGGGGGGACCCTGGGTCCACATGAGATGGAGAGGCTGTCCCAGGCAGGCCCCTTCCTCTCCCTTGCCTAAGTCTGGCACGTGGCCTCCTCTGTGCTGGGAGTGCGGACGTGGCAAGGAGTGAGGCCAGGTACCTAGGCTCCTCTCTGGTCTAGCACTCAGTCCCTCACTATCACAGGCAGAGGAGATCAGACAGGGGACAGGCTTCCCCAACCTCCCTGCCCAGGCGACCCCGTGCCGCCTGCCCTCTGACCCAGCAGCCGCCCCTACCCTCAGCCACTCCTGCCTGTCTGGGGGCTAGCTGAATTTGGAGGCTGGCTTCTTCATTCAGACAAGGAGGGAAGAGGAAAGTTGTTTTTCAGGCAGCAGAGCTTTTAAATAAACACCATTTATCTTTCTCTCACCAGTCCGTCTTAAAGAAACTGGGTTCCTTGAGAAAAGAAACTAGATTCGCCGGCTGACGACGCCCAGGGACAAAGTGCCACTCGCAGCCTGGCCTGGGCCGCTGACACTGAAGGAGGCTTTCTTTACCCAGCTGAGCACCGGCTGCCAGCTCTGGCTCAGATGACCGGGCCCTGGTGCCAGGCCATAGCCCCGCCAGCTCCCAGGCTCCGGAGGGCCTGGCCTAGCTCCTCACCCTCCTCCAGCTACCCTCCCTGCTCACCTGCCCCTCCTGATCTGCCAGGAAGCTGAGAACTTCCGTTCACCTTGGGGTGACTACTTCCTCTTAGATTGCCCCTCCAGAGCAGCCCTCCCTGCCCAGCCTCAGGGGCAGCCCGGCCCTCACGCTGTCAGAGCAGAGTTAGCAACTGGCTACATCCACGACAGAATGGTCTCACCCACCTGGTCAGGCAGCTTCAAGAATGACCATGGGCCCGTGTTACAGAGGGGGGACTGAAACCCAGAATGGGCACTGACCGTCCAGAGCCATGGAGCAGAGTGACAGCTGACACCCCTCCCCCCAGGTGCTGGGGCCCCCTGGACCCCTGTGACCAGGCCCCACTGTGCCTTACCGGCGTGGTGTCATCGTGGGAGCGCTGGTAGCGTTTCCAGCGGCAGCCGTAGATGCCCGTGAGGCAGGAGAGGCACAGCTGGGGCTCGTAGTACTGCAGGGGCTGGTGTCTCACCATGCTCGTGCCCGCGGCCCTGGTGCCCGGCCCTCAGGAGCCCATGGGGGCACCAGGCTGGTCCTGTGGGAGAAAGCACAGGGCTGTGAGGCAGGGGACGGTGCGGGGTGGGCCCCAGACACAGCCAAAGTCTTTGCGGCCCAGGTCAGGGTGGGCCAGCCTCTGCACAAACCCCTGCAGAGGACTCAGGCCCACCTGGGGCCAGAGGCCCATCCCTGCAGGCCTCCCAGGACGCCACCCACCCCCGATCTTATCCACACCCTCGCCCCCTTCCCCCCAGCCTCCCTTGCCTGGCGCACTGCAGCTTCTTCCTCTGCGTGGAAGGCTCCCCCTTAGAACTCCCCCAGGTCATCTCCCGCAAAACTGCAACTGCTTCCCAGCCTCTCTCGGCCATTCTCAGCTTTATTTTCTCGATCGCGTTCCCAAACATGCTTTACTTATTTTGTTCCTTGTCTGCATATCCCACTGCGATGTCAGTTTCACAGAGGCAAAGGTTTTGTCTGTCTTCTCCTCTGCCGTACCCCCAGTAACTAGAACAATACCTGGCACACTGAGCTTCCCAAATAAATATGTTAAAATAAATTCTCATAAACGCTGACAAGTATCGAGCACTTAAAATATTCCAGGCACTGTGTGGATACTTTATATCCATTGTTCCATTGCACTGTCACAGGGGGGCAGGTGCAGTACCCCAAACCCATTGGACAGGTGAACACACTGAGGCCTGGAGAGAGACAGGGGCAGTGCCGGCCTTGGACACCAGCTGGGTGCTGGCAACCTGGAACTGTACTCTGGTGCCCGGATGTGTTCACTCCTTCAGGCTCAGGGACCCCGGCCCAGTGGGGCCGTGGCAGGTCAGTTGAGCAATGGGAGGTGTCTTGTGGGTTGAGTTGAGCCCCCAGGAGCAACAGACCCAGCGCTGCTTGGGGCCCTGGAGATGCTTGCTGGGGCTCTGAGGTGGCTGCGTTTGGCCAGTGGCCATTGGCTTGGGCACCTCGCCCGCCCTCATGTCAGGCCGCATCTGGTCCTCAGCACCACTGTTACTGCTGTCCCATTTCACAGATGTGGAGCCTGCAGCTCAGAGCAGTAAAATGATTCACCCGAGGAGTCAGGACTTGACTCCTGGTCTGTGGATCTCCAGAATTTGAAGCTGCCTGCTCTGTCCCAGACCCTGTTCTAGGCTCTGGAGACAGTGTGAACAGGCAGGCACGGGGACCCCTTCGGGGCCCTCCCAGGACAGTGAGGGGCACACAGGCCCTCGCTGTGCGCACACTCGCCCTGACAACAGCCTGTGGGGCAAGTGTTAGCATTATTTTTTTATTGAGATATAATTTGCACACCAAAAAATTCACCCGTTTAAAGTGTACAATTCAGTATTTGGCATATTCAGTTTTTAGGACAGTTACCGATTATGCGAACACCCCCACTTTCTAATTCCAAAGCATTTTCATCAGCCCACGGAAAGCTCCAGTCTCAGCCACAGTCACCTCCGCGCCCTGTTGTCCCCATTCCTGCCCCTCAGGCCCCGGCCACCACTAACCTACTTTATGTCTCAGTTTATGTGCCTAGTCTGGACATTTCATGTAAGAGGCATCATACAATGTGTGGTCTTTTGTGACTGGCTCTTTTTACTTGACGTAATGTCTTCAAGGTTCACCCGCCTTGCAGCATAAATCAGTGCCGCATTCTCTTTCAGAGCTGACATTAGTCAGTGGTGCAGACCGACCATTTTCCCTACTCACCAGCTGATGGGCATTTGGGTTGCTACCCCTTTCTGGCTATTGAGAGTAACACCGCTGTAAACATGTTTCTGTGTGAATATCCGTGTTCATTCCTCTTGGGTCCACACTTTGGAACCTCTAGGTCATACAGTTTGGCCCTTTGAAGAATGCTAGAAGCTGTCTCCTGAAGTGGCCACACCATTTCCCAGGCCATAAGCATCATTGTCACCGAAGCACAGAGAGGCTGGGCCATTTGTGGTGGGCGACCCAGCAAAACCAGGCAGTCTGGCTCCAGGGGCCTTGCTTGAACCCGGGGTTGGCAAACAGGTTTAACTCAGGGGCCGTATCTGTCCAGCTGCCTATTTTGGTATAGCCCACAGGCTAAGAATGGGGAAAAGTTAAAGCAAGAACACATCTGCGACACATGAAGATTATATGAGGATCAGACGTCAGTGGGTCCGTCAGCAAAACTTCACAGACCCAGCTGAGCTCGTCCTTTCCTGTACCGTCGGCGGCACCTTCAACTGCAGCTGCGGAGCCGAGCAGCTACAACAGAACCCAAATGGCCCACGAGGCCTGCAGTACTCACTGTCCCTTCAGAGGGAAAGTTCACTGGCCCCTGCGACCACCGGGCTACAATGGCCCCTAAGTGCAGTGCACAGTGGAGCTAGTAAAGGGAGGCTGTGGGGGCACTTAACTCGGGGCAGAGAGGTCAGGGCAGGCTTCCCGGAGGCAGTGCTGAGCTGAGGCATCTGAGATGAGCTCTTGAGACGCCTCCTTCTAAATGCCCAGGGGCTGCACTACAGAGGCAGCTGGGGCTGCAGGCCCACCCAGTACTTCTGTCTCTGGGCCCCATGCAGGGCCTCCGCCTCCCCCCACCCTCATCGCCACCCAGTGCTCACCTCAGCAGAGATCACAGCCCCAGTCTGAGGAGGAGATGCATTAGAGGCTTGCTGGAAATATCGACTGACCCAGCATCCCCGAATTGCTGGGAACTGCCTGCTACAGTCTCTGTGCCGTGTTTCCCTAGGGAGCCGTGTGGAATACGGTGCAGCTGCCGGGGAACCTCTGAGTCGAGCCCGGCCCAGGGCTTGGGGGGCAGTAAGGGATGCGGATGCTGCTGCAGTCAGCTTGGCTCCCATGGAGTGGGGAGGCCTGGGGAGTAGATGGGGGGATGCGCTCAGCTGTATTCAGCCAGCTCTCACACTGTGCACCCCCAGATTAGGGCTTCTGCTGCCGGGTGGACCATCACATCCACCCCTACCTCCCCAGGAAGGGAGGAGGCAACTGATGGGTAGAGAGAGGCCTGGACTCATCCCGTGTCAGCCACTGACTTGCTCTGTGGCTGAGACCTCTCGGGGCTCTTCCCTGAGCCTTGCTTGCTGAACCTGTGAAATGGGATAACAGCCTTTGCCTTGACTTCTGTAGAAGACCAGATTATGGGGGAGGGGCGCCAGGAGGGCGAGTGGCTGCAGTGACTGAGGTGCTGCAGGTGGGTGCTCTATAAGCAGAAGCCCACGCCCAGGTTCCCCTGCCCTCCCATTCTTTTCCCAGGACCCCCAATCCTGAGACTGGTTCCCATGTGTCCTCTGCCCTTCCCCACTCACCCACCATCACGACTGAGCAATACAGTCCCTAGGAATGGAAATTCCATTTCAAATCCAGAAAAGAGGGAAGTAGAACAGCCTGCCCTGGGCCTCAGCCCAGCACTCAGCTGATTTTGGCTCTTGGAACTGCCTCTCCCGAGGTAAATTTTCACACTATTCATAAGGTCAGGGGTATCTGTGGGAGGCAAACCTCCGTCTCTCCTTTTGATATTCTCCCGGGGTCATCTCGTCCACTCTCATGGCTTCAGTTACTGGGTGCGGCCAGGCCACCCAACCTCTGCCTCTCCATCGAGACAGCAGGCTCCCGGCTGTCTCTGGGGGTGTCACCCAGGTCCTGCAGACCTGGCACCACCACACCGACCTCCTCACCACCCCAACCTGCCTTTTGCAGCCCTCAAAGCCCGTTTTCACTGTTCCCTTGACTACTGCCCTGGGTGGGGGTTGCGGGGGGGGAGGGGTCATGCCCACCAACCTGAGCTCTGTCCAGCAGCCACTGAAAGCTTTTTAACAGGCACATGGCCAGGATCTGGCCCCTCCAGCTCCTCTAGCCTCACCACTCCGGAACTTGACATCCCTCCTTCTGATTAACACCCCCTGACTCTTCGAATCTCAGCTCAGGTGTTGCCTCCACCAGGGAGCCTGCCCTGAGCCCCGGGTCAATCAGAGCACTCCTCAGGGACCCCTGGGTGTCCCTAGTCCTTCCTGGGCACCCTCTGTCAGTAGTGTGGGCGTGTCCGTCTCCCCCAGGGGACGGTCTGAGTTATTCCTACATCTCCAATGGCCAGCACAGTGCAGCAAGAGGATGAGGCCCTGGGGCTTCCTGGATTGTACAGCTGGGAGGCCTGGGAGTTCTACCAGGACATGCGCTCAGACCCTGGGCATTTGGACCAGCTCCCAGAGACCAGACTCTCCCCACTCCCTTCCCTCCCTTCCCGCCAGGGCAATGGCATTACTTAGGATCAACTGATTTCTCCAAGTGACCTCGCAGGGTATCAGCCAAGTTCTCAAGAACCCCCCCCTTCTGGAGCCCCTACTGGCTCTGGGACAGGAGGAAGCCCCAGTCTCTGATCCTGATATTGGAGGACCCCTCAGCCCAAAGTCCCATTGTCGGTCTGGATTTTTGGTCCCCGCCCTGCATTCCTGTTTGCACAGGGAAGGGCCTTCCTGGAGCCCAGGCCTGAGATGCAGTGAGGGCCTGCTGCAAAGCTACAAGGTCCTCTCCCACCCTGGTGTCCTGGGAAGGCACCCAACCCCCTTCTCTCCTGCTCCTCCCTCCCATGACCCCCAGGCAGCCAGGCCCTCGCTGGCCCCAGGTCCTGCTGCCTCTGGCCCCAAGCCCCCTCTCTTTCCTGAGAGTGGAAAGACTCTCAGGCCAGGTGTCAGTGCCCAGGTTCCAGCCTAGTCACCTTCCACTGACTTGCTGTGTGACTTCAGACAGGTCAGTAGCTCTCTCTGAGCTTATTTTACCCATCTGAGATATGGGAACTAGATGGAATAACAAATAAAAGGACCCAGGTTGCAATAAAAAGGAATAAAACACTCATCTGTGCCACAACAGGAAAGAAACGTGAAAACGGTGTGCTGAGTGAAGGAAGAAAGTTACAGGAGGTGGGATGGGGCCTGCCGGGCCCATGCTGGGCACTGCCCCTGGGTGTCCCCTTGGAGACAGCCGTTCAAGTAGAGGCGACAGGCTTCTGCTGCCGATCGGAGGCATGGGCCCGGGCGAAGGCACGAA